CTATCTGGTCTCTCTCTGGTCTCTCTCTAGTCTCTCTCTGGTCTCTCTCTCTAGTCTCTCTCTAGTCTCTCTCTAGTCTCTCTCTGGTCTCTCTCTCTAGTCTCTCTCAGGTCTCTCTCTAGTCTCTCTATGGTGTCTCTCTGGTCTCTCTCTAGTCTCTCTCTGGTCTCTCTCTGGTCTCTCTCTGGTCTCTCTCTAGTCTCTCTCTGGTCTCTCTCTCTCTCTCTAGTCTCTCTCTGGTCTCTCTCTAGTCTCTCTCTGGTCTCTCTCTAGTCTCTCTCTAGGGTCTCTCTATAGTCCCTCTCCGGTGTCTCTCTGGTGTCTCTCTGGTCTCTAGTCTCTCTAGGGTCTCTCTATAGTCTCTCTCTGGTGTCTCTATGGTCTCTCTCTCTCTAGTCTCTCTCTAGTCTCTCTCTGGTCTCTCTCTCTCTAGTCTCTCTCTAGTCTCTATTTTTTTTTCTCTCTCTCTTCTCTGTTTGCTCTTCCCCTTAGTCTCTCTCTGGAGTCTTCTCTTGACTCTGGCCCTCAGCTCCTGTAAGTCCACCTCTTCCCTCTCCCCTCTCCACTCAGGGGCCTCTCAGGGCCTCTCAGGGGGGCCCCCACTTCACCTCTGCAGGACCATGATCATTACACTATGTGATCTGCCTCTTAATCAGCCCTCCCTCTAAACAAGGCTCGTTCAGATCTAGCCTCTCAATGAGGACTGGAGCGAGCCAGGAAAGGCGAGGAGAGAGTGTGTCGTTGCTATCATCCACATAACATCACATATCTATGAGAGAGACAAGAGAGAAAGAGAGACCAGAGAAAGAGACCAAAGAGAAAGAGAGACCAGAAAGAGAGAGAGACCAGAGAGACTAAAGAGTGAAAGAGCAGAGAGAGACCACAGAGAGACCAGAGAGTGAGGCACCAGAGAGAGAGACCAGAGAGAGATCAGAGAGAGAGAGACCAGATAGACCCACAGAAATCCTTGTAAAAAATAATTTCTCTCTCTGGTCTCTCTATGGTCTCTCTCTTTGGTCTCTTTCCGGTCTCTTTCTGGTCTCTCTCTTGTCTCTCTCTGGTCTCTCTCAGGTCTCTCTTTGGTCTCTCTCTGTTCTCTCTCTTTGGTCTCTTTCTGGTCTCTCTCTAGTCTCTCTCTGGTCTCTCTCTTGTCTCTCTCTGGTCTCTCTCTGGTCTCTCTCAGGTCTCTCTCAGGTCTCTCTTTGGTCTCTCTCTGTTCTCTCTCTTTGGTCTCTTTCTGGTCTCTCTCTAGTCTCTCTCTGGTCTCTCTTTGGTCCCTCTCTGGTCTCTTTCTTTCGTCTTTACATATTTTTAGATCAGAGAATATAGAAAATAGTCCTGACAACAAAAACACGACTAAAACACCGTTGATCAATTATTATCGCATTATTACCGGTTTACAATTAACAATTGTAAACCGCTTTGAGACTCAGATCTGCAGTGAAAAGGCGGTATATAAATAAAGATTACTTACTTACTTATTATCCATTATTTTTAATCACAAACCACAAACCGACATGAATGACCGTTAGCCCGTTATCCAGCGTGCTAAAATGCTAATCCCTCTTTTTGCTTTCACTTTAGCTTCTTCTACAGGCTGTATAAAGGTGCAGACATTCATCACAAAAGGTTTCTCCCATAATGCAATCTGCCTCTGCGCGTGCGGCTCTTCACTTGATAACTCCATTTGTATTTTTCATGACAATGCAAGCGCCGAGCCTCGAATTTTCTTTAAGTGAGATCATTTCTATCGACGCCGTGTTGCAGCTGCAGAAGCAATTTCAGCCTCATTCATGAATTCTACGGCTCTCATACCAAAATAAGTTGTATTTGGAAATATTGGGTATTTTTGCAAATCTGTCGGTGTGTATTAAAGTGAGATGCTATAGGTGAATACAGAGAGTAGAGAGAGACCGGAGAGAGACCAGAGAGAGACCAGAGAGGGAGACCAGAGAGAGACCAGGGAGAGACCAGAGAGAGACCGGAGAGAGACCAGGGAGAGACCAGAGAGAGACCAGAGAGAGAGACCAGAGAGAGACCAGAGAGAGACCGGAGAGGAGCAAGAGAGAGACCAGAGAGAGACCAGGGAGAGACCAGAGAGGGAGACCAGAGAGAGACCAGAGAGAGACCGGAGAGGGGCCAGAGAGAGAGAGACCAGAGAGAGACCAGAGAGAGACCAGAGAGAGACCGGAGAAGGGCCAGAGAGAGACCAGAGAGAGACCGGAGAGGGGCCAGAGAGAGACCAGAGAGAGACCAGAGAGAGACCAGAGAGAGACTAAAGATAGACTAAAATATAAAAAAGCGATTAAAAATAGAGGACCACACTAATCAGCTCTACGCCCCTACAAGTCAAATAATGACTCACAGGGCTCTGTCTTACACCAAAGATGAGATGAAGATCATATGTTACTCTTTCTGTTGAGACAAATGCCTAATGTTATTATTATATTATGTGTGATAAAAGTGAGGTACCCGAGCTTTAAGAGAGGATTCTATACGGAACAGAGACAGAACAGTTCTCAGTGTTTGATAAACATATATTCAGCTGCAGCTTATCTGCCATGTTCACACAGGCCTCAGACTACAACCTCTGACATTACTACACACATCACTATCACAGGCAGAGGCTGGTGTCAGAGGAAGAGAGGGAGGGAGGGAGGGAGGAGAGGGGGGTGAGAGAGAGGGAGGAGAGAGAGAGAGAGGGAGGAGAGAGAGGAGAGATGAGAGAAGAGAGGGAGGAGAGGGAGAGAGAGGAGAGGGAGGAGGAGAGAGAGAGAGGGAGGAGAGAGAGGAGAGAGAGGAGATCAAGGGAGGAGAGGGGAGGAGAGAGAGGAGAGAGAGAGAGAGGGAGGAGAGAGAGGAGCGAGAGGAGAGAGAGGGAGGAGAGGGGAGGAGAAAGAGGGGGGAGAGAGCGAGAGGAGGGAGGGAGGGAGGGAGGAGAGATGAGAGAAGAGAGAGGGAGGAGAGGGGGAGAGGAGAGGGAGGAGAGAGGGGAGAGAGAGAGAGAGGGAGGAGAGAGAGGAGATAGAGGGAGGAGAGGGGGAGAGAGAGAGGAGGGAGAGAGGAGAGGGAGGAGAGAGGGGAGAGAGAGAGGGAGGAGAGAGAGGAGAGAGAGGGAGGAGAGGGGAGGAGAGAGAGAGGAGAGAGAGGGAGGAGAGGGGAGGAGAGAGAGAGGAGAGAGAGGAGAGGGAGGAGAGAGGAGAGAAAGGAGAGGAGAGAGGGTCAGAGCAGGAGCACACTGTATACAAATGGACAATGCTAACCCGCTAGCTCAGTAAAGCCCGATAGGGAAGTGCTCATGCTAAAAGTTTTCTCTCTGGCTCTGAATGACTCACATGTAAAACTAAAGTAACTCTTCGAGCTCAGAAACTTTTTTGTGATTAAAGAATGGTTTCTCTCTCTCTGTGATCCTGGTGTTTATGTGTGATATTGTCTTTGTAAATCCTGATATGAGCCATGTAAGAACTGACCAATGCCTTAGCAACCATCCTAGCAACACGCCCCTGTTACAGCACCAAGCTAACGCCATCAAAACAAAATGCACACACCAGGTTATTGGCTGCAAATCGGCTTCTTCAGCATTAAGGCTAACACTGAGGTGATGTCACACTCTGTCAGTCCACTCCTACTACACGGTCTAAGTTTGGAGCAGGATTCAAGCCACACACGCTCTACCGGCCACTGCCACAAACAAGTTTCCAAGGTTTTAAAATTTGATTAGAAGTCGTTGTGTTGAGAAAATCCACGTTTGCTTCCAGTTGCTTCGTTCCCATGTGGGTGGACACAGATGCATGTGGAGAAAGTCCTTATGTCTGCAGCTTTTATCTCTCACCAAACTCCCACTCACTGTTTCCTCTCCTTTTTAATTAGACTTTAAAGATAGAGAGGAAACGGCCACAAACTGGAGAAACTGAAACACGCAGAACACTCACGACTGCGAGCCTGGGTCTACAGCCTCAGTCCTGGGTCTACAGCCTCAGTCCTGGGTCTACAGCCTCAGTCCTGGGTCTACAGCCTCAGTCCTGGGTCTACAGCCTCAGTCCTGGATCTACAGCCTCAGTCCTGGGTCTACAGCCTCAGTCCTGGGTCTACAGCCTCAATCCTGGGTCTACAGCCTCAGTCCTGGGTCTACAGCCTCAGTCCTGGGTCTACAGCCTCAGTCCTGGGTCTACAGCCTCAGTCCTGGGTCTACAGCCTCAGTCCTGGGTCTACAGCCTCAGTCCTGGGTCTACAGCCTCAGTCCTGGGTCTACAGCCTCAGTACTCCAGACCAGAAAGAGACCAGAAAGAGACCAGAGAGAGAGAGACCAGAAAGAGACCAGAGAGACCAGAAAGAGACCAGAGCGAGAGACCAGAAAGAGACTAGAGAGCGAGAGACCAGACAGAGACTAGAGAGAGACCAGAAAGAGACTAGAGAGAGAGACCAGAAAGAGACCAGACAGAGACTAGAGAGAGACCAGAAAGAGACCAGAGAGAGAGACTAGAGAGAGAGACCAGAAAGAGACTAGAGAGAGAGACCAGAAAGAGACTAGAGAGAGACCAGAAAGAGACTAGAGAGAGAGACCAGAAAGAGACCAGATAGAGACTAGAGAGAGACCAGAATGAGACCAGGCACTAAATTATTTTAGTGCCTGGATTTTAATTTAAATGACTTTTCCAGGTTTCCCATGCCTGAACGATACATAAATTTGAGTCGACACATTCCCATGTTCCAGATAATCAATCTTTGAGAGGATTTAGGATTTTCCCGATAATAAATTCTCAGTAGTACGCGACACACACGGATGAAACGACTCTGATGGAAGTGGAAAGTGATGTACACAGAGAACAGAGAGTGACAGAAGGCATAGGACCCTAATGGCCTCCGGAATAGAATAAAGGAGCCAGGACCAGGACATTACGCCAAAGAGGATCCACCACCACCGAGATAAAAGCCACTGATGAAGGTTTGATGGCACGAGCCGCCAGGAGAAGAAGGGGAATCCATTAGGGAACAGGACCATGAATCATGCATCTGGAGCGGAGCGTGAGGAAGAAGAAAAGACAGTCTATAAAAGCAACAAAAGAGGAGGTCAGGAGTGTGAGGAGATGGAGGGCTCCTGGTGACAACAGCTGGAGGCAGGAGGCTCAGAGAGAGGACTGTAAGTACTGCTATACTCTGCTCTAGACCAGAGAGAGACCAGAGAGACCAGAAAGACCAGAGACCTGAGAGAGAGAGACAAGAGAGACCAGAGATACTAGAGAGAGCCCAGAGAGAGACCAGAGAGAGACCAGAGACACCAGAAAGACCAGAGACCTGAGAGAGAGAGACCAGAGAGACCACAGAGACTAGAGAGAGACCAGGGAGAGACCACAGAGACTAGAGAGAGACCAGGGAGAGACCACAGAGACTAGAGAGAGAAAAGAGAGAGACTAGAGAGAGACAAAGAAGAGACCAGGGAGACCACAGATACTAGAGAGAGACAAGAGACCAGAGAGAGACCAGAGAGAGACCAGGGAGAGACCAGGGAGACCACAGATACTAGAGAGAGACAAGAGACCAGAGAGAGACCAGAGAGAGACCAGAAAGACCAGAGACCTGAGAGAGAGAGACTGGAGAGACCAGAGAGACTAGAGAACAGAGAGACCAGAGAGAGACTGGAGAGACCAGAAAGACCAGAAAGAGACCTGAGAGAGACCAGAGAGAGACCAGAGAGAGAGACCGGAGAGAGAGAGACCAGAGAGAGACCACAGAGACCAGAGACCAGAGAGAGACCAAAGAGAGACCAGAGGGACCAGAGAGACCAGAGGGAGACTGGAGGGATCAGAAAGACTAGAGAGAGACCAGAGAGAGACTAGAGAGAGACCAGGGAGAGACCAGAGAGGCAAACTGTAAGTACTGCTCTACTCTGCTCTAGACCAGAGAGAGACCAGAGAGAGTACATCAGTCTCCTCATGCGTCTGACAGATCTGCAGATATGATATTCATACAAACATAAACATAACTATTCCTGTCTTTGTCTTGAGTCTCTCCAGCTTGAAACAAACTCAACCCAAACTTTCTAATCACAAACAGCTCACAGCAGAAGGACCCTCTTCCACTGGACCTGATCCTGTTTGTGAATCCACAGCTCGTCACGGTCTCAGAGCCCGCTGTGTTCGCCGCTCGCTCCGCCGCCACCTCCTCATAAAACATGCTAACGATAAACACTCAGATGGAAATGAGCTGGAAAATCATTGTTTGGGTGGTTCCATTTAACTCTCGGTCTGAAGGCGTTAATCACTGCCCAGACGCTGAGTAACGACCACAACACACACGCGCACACACACACACACACACACACACACACACACACACACACACACACACACATGGGCTATGACAAGAACAAATGTGGCAAAAATGTGAGGATGGAACTGCAATATTTGTGCACAATTCAATATTATTGCAATTCTTTCCATATACACTATCTGTATTAGATAGTATTGTGGTTCTGTGATATATTGTGATGCTAGATGCTACTTCTGACAATGTACTTATACAAACTACTTTAACCTTACATTGACTCATATTGTCCTAAACTGTCGCTTCTAAACACACATAAGTACAACATTCTAAACGTATTAGTAAAGTTTTATCAGGAGGCTTTACAGAATAATCAAGAGCTAAATGTGACCTCTGGTTTTTGTTATGAACGTGTCTGACGTGCGCTGACGAAAGCCCGCGAAACCGGGACCCTGCCGCTAGCATTAGCACAGTTAGCTTCCTCGGCGCTTACCACAGAAAACACTCACAAACCACTCACGAAAGATGCACAAAGCCTCTCATCTTACTATAATCTACAACCACAGGTACCACGAAGCTGAAGGCTTTTATGTGTGGCGTAACCAAATACTGACCTGTAAAATAAGGTAGAGTCTCAGAAGAAATACTTTTTAAACTCCAGAGTCACGGTCAATGCGGCCCTCTGGTAAAACGGCGAATGACAATAGTTCCGCTATCATTATTGTTACTGTTATTATTATTATTACTATTATTTTTCCTTACTCACTAGTTACTCTCCAGTTTTACACAGGACATCATCTACAAAATGTAAACTAATTATGCTCCAAATAGCCAGTGTATATTTGCACACATTAAAATGTATAAATAAAATAGACTCCATTACTGTAATAACACACTCAGGTGGTGAGAGTAAGTCCAGCTGTGTCTTATCTTAAACTTGTAATATTATTAGCCAGAATTTCTCTTTAAAATGTAATATTAATTTAATAATAATAATGAAGTATGCCTCTCTTGGGAGAACTCCCAGAGGAGGCTGACGTGGTCTACAAATATATAAACATTAAGGAATTGAGAAATAATATGTGAGGTATTACTTTAACCAGGCTGTGTTTGTTAGTTTACTCCCGTTAAAGGTGATGCCTGTAACTACAATAGTATTATTATGTGCTTGTAGAGCTAACCTGGTCAGCTCTCTTTGTTCAGAGAGCTAACCTCACACCATGCAGCGCTGATGGGATACAGCTTCACCATCGCTCATGCGCAACATCCGCTTCTCGATACAAGGACCTTATCTTTAAAACAGAGCTCAATCTAGAAGGGGAACATTAGCCAAACAGCACACACACACACACACATTCATCCTCTCACACTGCTCCTTATCAGACGACTGGTGGCATCTCGGAGACTACGCTTCACTGGTTACAGATAAACAAGCTAAAGCCAACGCTAACGCTAAAGCTAGTCGGATGTTATCAACAAGGTTTGACAAATGGTGGTGAGGAGACACTGACGGAGAGGGACCCGAGAGAACAGTTTAACTCACCCCAGAAGTGACTAAAACCATCGCATAAAACATATTATTTTTGTCTGAATTAACATCCGTACATTTTCTTTGCTACAATAGACACATTTTTGATGTTTTCTTTGTAAAACAACAATTTAGCAATAGAGAGTTTTATTGTTGCCCTCTAGTCTCTCTCTTTGGCCTCTCTCTGCTCTCTATTTGGTCTCTTTCTTCTGTTTCTCCCTCTTTAGCCTCACTCTCTAGTCTCTCTCTCTCTCTCTCTCTCTGGTCACTCTCTCTGGTCTCTCTCTTTGCTCTCTCTCTGCATGGTCTTTCTCTTTTGTCTCTCTTCTCTCTCTATAGTCTCTCTCTCCGGTGTCTCCCTCTTTAGTCTCGCTCTTTGGCCACTCTCTCTGGTCTCTCTTTAGTCTCCCCCTTTCTAGTCTCTATCTGGTCTCTCTCTGGTCTCTCTCTCTTTCTCTCTGGACTCTCTCTCTGGACTTTAACCAGCCCTAAACACATTCATGACAGGAAGGAGGGACCATAAAGCAGATCTGAGACAACCCTAACTCCCTGTAGTCATACCATAAAACCCTCTCATCAGATTAGGGTTGCCAACTTGAGAACAAAAAAATAAGGGACACCATTTGGGTGGATCGGGTTGAGCACTTTTTAGTCCTAATTTAAATCTACACAGGAATCATGAATTTCATAATCACAGTTCTTGGAATGTAATGGTAACCTGGCAAGAGCCAGATTGATGATTGTGTAGAACTCTAATGCGTTCTCCACAATATCAATCAGGGACTTCTGCAGGAGAATCCTTTCCGGGAAAGGAGGGATAAGCAGCAGAATACTTCAAGCTGATTGGGCGAAGTGACGCTGTGTGCCCGCCTACCAAGGTTTGACTTAAACCAATCCCAGTAACATCTTTGCCGTCCAGAAATGCACAAAGCGCCTCTCGCTGTTCATCTTTCAAAAATGAAATTGGAGATTCGGCTAAAACTGACTTGATAGCCTCAGCTACGCGTCCGTCCTCCTGCGTAGCCATGTTTGTTTTGCTTCGGCCCGGCACTTCTTGCTTTCGTCAAACCCAGATATCCCGCCCTAAACCCCCAGACTGGCGCGTGATTGGCTTGAACACCTGGATGTTCTACTCGAAAAGGGTTGGCGGGAGCGGGACAATATGTATTCCCAAGTGTTTGTGAACTCACAAATACCGCGAGAATTCAGCTTGCAGGCAAGGTTAATGTAATGGACTATTGACTACATATTTAGAAAAAAAACAAATCCTTAGTCAAAAATGAAATTAAATAAACAGGTGGAACTCTTTGGCTGGTTAAGGACTTAATGCATTCTTATTAGTAATACAAATATAAAAAAGACAAATGATGTAACATACATTATTTATGAATGTTACAGTAAAGACCATTTACTGTAAAAGCAAATTAAAAAAATAAAAACATATGTATTCATTTAAAAAAATAAAAACTCACAAATGTTGAAATCAAAGTCTGTAGCAGTTAGACATGGTCATTATTTATAATGTCTGAGAGTTTAGTGTGTGTACATGACTTCAGTAAAAGCTATTGTTCGTTTACAGCTGGTCTGGACATTTGTTGACGCTCCCTAAATGCTTTTCCTGGTGTTCCGTCGAGATGATGTAATTCAAACCTGCGCTGCGCGTCTCACGTCTGTAGAAGCAGACAAAAGCACATAGATTTTGTATAATACGGGACAATTCCGTATTTCAAGGGACGGTTGGCAACCCTACACCAGATTAGCATGTGCAGAAGAGCCCGCAGACCTACACGTGTACACAACCCTCCTTCTCGGACACACACACCATCCATCGCTATCTCTCAGCTCCACCTGGTCCTGCTGGCAGAGGAGAAGGCTCTCTGCAGCTGAGGAGGTGGAGGCTATTGTGGTCCTGATGGCAGGAGCCTGAGAGAGCGCACTCAGGGATTCACACGGCCTTACCATATGACACCGGTGAATATTTCATTTTAAAAGCAAATCTATGGAGGAGAGAAGCCTCGAGGAACAGAGAGAGATCCAGAGGAGAGCGAGAGACGGGGACAGGTGAGAGTGGAGGAGGCTGTGGAAGAAATTTGTTTGTTTTTAATACTGTATGATTGTTGTTGGGCACAGAGACAAAGAGACCAGTGTCTCTCTCTCCCTAAAACTTTCACATGAGGTTAAAAAAAACCCTAGGGGTAATAATGGACTCAGACTTAAATATGAACATCCCATCAGTGACATCTGCAGCTTCTACCATCAAAGAAACAGAATTAAAAGTGTATCGTCTAAAGCAGAGGTCTCCAGTGGTTTAGATTCCAGAGAGAGACCAGCAAGAGAGCAGCGAGAGACCAGAGAGAGACCAGAGAAAGAGACTGGAGAGCTACACCAGCGAGAGAGAGCAGAGAGAGACCAGGCAAAGAGACTACAAAGTTAGACCAGCGAGAGAGACCAGTGAGTGACCAGTGCGAGAGACTGGCGAGAGAGACCAGCAAGAGACCAGATAGAGACTAGAGGGAGAAACCTGCAAGAGAGACCAGTGAGAGAGACAGGAGAGAGGCCAGAAAGAGAGGCCAAAGAGACCAGAGAAAAGACCAGAGAGATAGACAAAAGACAGACCAAAGAGAGAGACCGGCAAGAGACCAGAGAGAGACCAGAGAGAGACCAAAGAGAAACCAGAGGGAGACCAGAGAGAGACCAGAAAGAGACCAGAGACCAGAAAGAGACCAGAGAGAGACCAGAGAGAGACAGTCTCTCTCTACCAGAGAGAGCAGACAGGCGGCTGAGTGATAGTCCCGCCGCGCACACGACTGTCACCCTCCTGATTTAGTGGCGCTTCTGAAGGTTCGCCCAAAGACACCGCGACAGACGTGTAAACAAAGCTAGCGCAAATTGCTGTTAGCTAAAGCGAGAGAGCGGAGTGTGAAGATGGGAGCAGATGCCGAGGAGCAAACACACGGTCGCAGCCGCGGAAGGTGACAGCGACGCTTCAGTGAGATTGACGGAGCTTCATGGTTTCTGTGTTCCAGATTGTGATAAGTAGAAGCAATTCCACTGCTTTATCTGGATTTATGAAAACAAATTTACTACAGTATTTTATAACAGTGCGCTGGACTGAGTTAAGATGGAGACCAGAAAGAGAACAGAGAAAGACCAGAGAGAGACCAGAGAGAGACCAGAGAGAGACCAGAGAAAGACCAGAGAGAGACCAGAGAGAGACCAGAAAACCTCTTGTCGCTCTCTAGTCTCTCCCTGGTCTCTCTCTCTCTCTCTCTGGTCTTTCTCTCATCCCTCCCTGGTCTCTCTCCAGTCTCCCTCTGGTCTCTCTCTCTCTCTCTCTCTAAGCCAAGGCCTCTGTGTCAGCAGCTAAAGTCTCAGCTCCATCCTGATCTCCCCTCTGCTGTCAGCGCTTCAGAAGAGTAAATATGTTTTGGGGAATAATGGTTGGTGTCCGCCTGCCCCCCCTGGCCCCCGCCTCCCGCTCCCCAAGGTCACCTTCACAGATAGGGATGACTTTAAACACAGGACTGTTATGGCTCAGCAGAAGCACTCCCCAAACGTCCCCAAGGTCACATGGACAAAACCAAGACTGCCATTTGAGACTCATGCTAACTGTTAGCTGCTAGCTGTTAGCTGTTAGCTGCTAGCATAAAGGACCCACACAGGGCTGGGCGATATATGGGCTTAACATGATATTATTATAGAAGAAGCAGCATTTTGGCCACTTTAGCACCAGCCAAGAGGGACTAACAAAGGACCTATAGTAGGGTAGAGCAGAGTAGAGTTGAGTAGAGTAGAGTAGAGCCATCCCTTCACCCTCTGAGTTTCCTAAAGTCATCTTCATCTAGAGCCTGGAGATCGTCTGAATGTGTTTTTATCGTTCTGCTGCAAAAACCTTGAAAATGACAAGTTCATTATGCTACACAGCAAAGGAGTTTACACATAATAGTTAACGGTTAATGAGGAGCCAGAGGAGACAAAGGAGAGAGAGAGGGGGGGAGGAGAGGAGAGAGAGGAGAGAGAGGAGAGAGAGAGAGAGAGGAGAGAAAAGAAAGAGAGGAGAGGGGAAAGACGAGAGAGGAGAGAAAGGACTGGACTGAATAGTGCTCACAGCTGTGGCCTTCTCTGCAGAGTTACTGCTTTATCCAAGAGTTTAACAAAGAGACGCTGGATTAAAAAAGATAATATCAGAGGAGAGGAGAGGAGAGGAGAGGAGAGGAGAGGAGTATTTCCTTGGTTTCTCAGCTGTGGCTTCAGTCCTATTTTTCCGGTTCCACATTTAGATCTCTTCATCACTGATCTACGGTCGTTTTAAAAACATGTTTTTCTTCCATCAGCTCCGTCAGACTCAACCACAGACAGAGACACAGTCTACAGCCCAGGACTGAGGCTGTAGACTGGGTCTACAGCCTCAGTCCTGGGTCTACAGCCTCAGTCCTGGGTCTACAGTCTCAGTCCTGGGTCTACAGCCTCAGTTCTGGGTCTATGGCCTCAGTCCTGGGTCTACAGCCTCAGTCCTGGGTCTACAGCCTCAGTCCTGGGTCTACAGCCTCAGTCCTGGGTCTACAGCCTCAGTCCTGGGTCTACAGCCTCAGTCCTGGGTCTACAGTCTCAGTCCTGGATCTACAGCCTCAGTCCTGGGTCTACAGCCTCAGTCCTGGGTCTACAGCCTCAGTCCTGGGTCTACAGCCTCAGTCCTGGATCTACAGTCTCAGTCCTGGGTCTACAGCCTCAGTCCTGGGTCTACAGCCTCAGTCCTGGGTCTACAGCCTCAGTCCTGGGTCTACAGCCTCAGTCCTGGGTCTACAGTCTCAGTCCTGGGTCTACAGCCTCAGTTCTGGGTCTATGGCCTCAGTCCTGGGTCTACAGCCTCAGTCCTGGGTCTACAGCCTCAGTCCTGGGTCTACAGCCTCAGTCCTGGATCTACAGCCTCAGTCCTGGGTCTACAGCCTCAGTCCTGGGTCTACAGCCTCAGTCCTGGGTCTACAGCCTCAGTCCTGGGTCTACAGCCTCAGTCCTGGGTCTACAGTCTCAGTCCTGGGTCTACAGCCTCAGTTCTGGGTCTATGGCCTCAGTCCTGGGTCTACAGCCTCAGTCCTGGGTCTACAGCCTCAGTCCTGGGTCTACAGCCTCAGTCCTGGGTCTACAGCCTCAGTCCTGGGTCTACAGTCTCAGTCCTGGATCTACAGCCTCAGTCCTGGGTCTACAGCCTCAGTCCTGGGTCTACAGCCTCAGTCCTGGGTCTACAGCCTCAGTCCTGGATCTACAGCCTCAGTCCTGGGTCTACAGCCTCAGTCCTGGGTCTACAGCCTCAGTCCTGGGTCTACAACCTCAGTCCTGGGTCTACAGCCTCAGTCCTGGGTCTACAGTCTCAGTCCTGGGTCTACAGCCTCAGTTCTGGGTCTACAGCCTCAGTCCTGGGTCTACAGTCTCAGTCCTGGGTCTACAGCCTCAGTTCTGGGTCTACAGCCTCAGTCCTGGGTACCCTAACCCTAATTGGCAGCACTTGTTCGCAGCACCTCAAAGACCATGTCTTTGGCCCTGGACAGAGACCGACGAGAGGAAAGGGGGGAGATGGGGGGAGAGAGAAAGGGAGGAGGGGGAGGTTGAGGCGTGTGCGAGTAATGACTTGGGGAATTGTACAATAACTGTTGACCTCCAAGACTTGGCTCCGTTTGCCTCAATTTGCTCCGTCCCTCGACACTCGCTGAACCATCACACACTCTGCAGGAGGAGGTGATGTCACACTCTGCAGGAGGAGGTGATGTCACACTCTGCAGGAGGAGGTGATGTCACACTCTGTAGGAGGAGGTGATGTCACACTCTGCAGGAGGAGGTGATGTCACACTCTGCAGGAGGAGGTGATGTCACACTCTGCAGGAGGAGGTGATGTCACACTCTGTAGGAGGAGGTGATGATGGTATGGTATGGTTTTTTATTTTTACAGAGACAGTGTATCATAAACATTAGCCAAAAGGAGAGATGCATTGTACCAGGTTATAGCAGCAGTGCTACACCTGTAGTCCCTGAGCAGGTCGTTGTAAGACAGTAAAATAAAAATAGATACATTACCATACATTATCAGACATAGATTACAATTTAATTTATAACAGGCAATAATGAAATAAAATAAAACCACCCGGCCCTCATTCTTTACTTTCATACAATCCGACCCAAGCCCCGTCAATCCAATATGGATTGGATTGACCATCATATCCAAGATGGCGCCCTTTTCAAATGAATGGTTGTGCTCAGTGGCGCTTTGTGACGGCATGGGGTCTGAAAAGATTAGCGGAAGTCGTCTGGAACTCGCAAAGAACTTTGGGAAACTCGCCTGTATTTGGGCATCGTCTGGTCCTCCCGGTTCTGTGCAGTGGATGATCTCCCATAATGCGTTGCGCCAAACACGCGTGTGTGGGTCTCACACCGGGTCTCACGCACGTGCACAGAGGGGCTCGGCCGCGCTCTGACCAATCAGAGCAGTTCATCAGAGCGGGAGTTAGAGCGAGAGCCAGACGAGCAGAGTTTGTGGCACTAAAGTGTGGATTTAAACAAAACCAAAGGATTTAAGAAGAAAAAAAGTTCAGGATGACAAGGGACACTAAAATCCCCACAAAATCCAACCTTTATGAAAGCTGTAGGTTCTCTGTCAGCTGAGGTCAAGCTGTTTTAATTTGCATTGAGTTCTATGGGACTTTTTTCTGGGTAGCCCACGTGAATTTAGTCTGGTTCAGTCTGCAGTACCGCGCGAATCCCCCGAGCACATGAGTTATTCAGCTACAAGCTAGTAATACCCTATCCAGTTAATATAATACATCCATGGTCCGACCCCGCCATGATCCAATCTGGATTTGATTTCTTCGATAAGAAAGCAGCAGGCAGTTTCTGTTGAATACCCACTCCTGAATCCAAATTGCATTGGGTTCAGTAAATGTTCTGTAAGACACATTTCATCATTGGTGTTTTTCTGTTTTCCAAGAATGTTGTCAATATTTTTCCACAAGATTTTACTATTTCCGTTAGATTCTTTTAATAGATTGAGAATTGGCTTTCCTAATCATTGCTGTAACTTTTTTCCTTAGCCCTTTGAAGATTAGATTATCAGTAGATAGTCTTGTTCTGATGAAATGTTTCAATGAAGCGTCCCTTTTCTTCATAAGTTTCCAAATTTCATGTGTAAACCATGGTAGACTTTTTTTATTCTGATTCTTTCTTTTGTCTTTTGTATAATAATGTGAAATAGATTGTAGAGTAGTGATAAAGTCACTACATGCTTGTTCTCATGACTTTGTTTTACCTGCATCAGATCATTCTTTAACAGAGGGAGAACTTGTTTGGGGACAAATGACAAATTGTGGATATTATTTGGACTTGTTTAACTTTCTGACTGCTAGTGTGAGGTTATGGTCTGATAAACCAGTAATCAGGTTATAGGTTTTTGTTACTCTTTCTGGTTTGTTTGTAAAGATTAAATCTATTAATGTTTGTGATGTTTTTGTCATTCTAGTAGGTTTGTATAATATTTGGATCAATTCAAGAGATTGTACTAGTTCTATGAGTATTTTTCTTCGTGCTTTATCTTGCCAGTTTAAGTTGAAGTCTCCCATAAGTAAGATTTCCTTGTATTAAGCATTTTATGTAATTCTGGGTAGAAATCATTTGAGGCATTTGGAGGGCGATATATGCAAAGTATTGCAAAAACATTTGAGGTAAGAGCGTGATGGAAACTTCCACACACTCAAGTGTAGTTTTCCCCAGGTCTATTTCTTTACTTTCTGTGTTGGTGATTTCAATGGTTTTGTTAAGTCCTCTGAGATGACTTTTGTTGTGAATTAGGGCTATACAAGAATACATTATATTGTATTGCATTGTACTTTGGAGACTGTTTTTAACATATATCAACACTCCCCCCCTTCCATGTTCTCTATCCCGTCTGTAAACTTTGTAGCTAATGACATTAATTTCCAATTGGGGCGTCGCGGAATTCAACCAAGATTCACTCAAGCATATATAATCTAAATTTGAGTCCGTGAGTAAATGTTCTATTTGTTCAGTCTAGGACAGGGGTGCTCACACTTTTTCAGCATGCGAGCTACTTATAAAAGGATCAAGTCAAAATGATCTACCTACTACAAAAATGCAAATCATATATTTATTTCAAAAAATATTCTTTATATCTACAATGTATGTTTATGTACATGCAAAACCGCATGAGCCAATATAGCACAACACAACACAATTACCTATGTACATTTTTTGTCATTACCCGAGTTTACTCTGATGACTTGCACTGAATTGAATCGGCCAGGGATGCATAGTCCGGAAAATTGGTGGTAACTCGCTGACAAGTTTGTCGTGGTTTTGCTTTCCTGCACTGAGCGCGGTTGTTTGCGCATGTGCAGTCACCTAAGTGTCAGTAAAACATTACTGAGTAAAACACAGATGTCATTTGACTGTGGTGCCATGTCCATGTGCCATGCCTGTTTTTTTAAAATCCAAATATTTCCCCTCCTCAGTTTATACAATAATTTGCATCCACACATCTGCGTTATCAATCACATTCGTAACATTCCAAACATGTGCGTCTCTTACGTCCTGTCCTGCGTTGGGGAAAAACACGGAAGTGGGCGGAGCTTTGATGCAGACGCCGGTAACGGCACTTTTACAGTCATAGAAGACACTCAGAGTAAAGACGTACAGTATGTTTACAAGCACTGACCCCGTCCTCAGCCCTGGTTTAGTCCTGGTTTAGTCCTGTTTTAGTCCTGGTTTAGTCCTGGTTTAGTCCTGGTTTAGTCCTGATTTGGTTGTTTTTGAGCGTGAGTCCCCGCGATCACTTTGCTGCTCTCTGATGTGGAGCGAGGATGTTCGCGAACACTTTTTAAGGTAGTATGATCCATGCTTCAGTGATCAGAGGAATTTTGGGGGCTACTGTGTCGTGCGAGAACGCAAAACTCCGGTTATCTCTGTCTACACACAAATGCATTAACAGAGTTTTCAAAAATCTCCACTTTGCCCGGAGTTTTTTGTATATATTCGTTTAGAATGTGTATTTTTTTATTTATTTAATGCGATCTACCAATACTACCTTTGCGATCGACTGGTAGATTGCGATCGACGTATTGAGCACCCCTGGTCTAGGATATAACACTCCAAATATTGAAATGTCCGCCAAATATCCCCTTTGGTTTGGTGTTTGGGTTCCACAGCACGCTCGCGTGACTGACAGTTTGGAAGAGGCGACTGTTGCTGTTTCTGAGCTGCGGTGGTTTTCAGCAGATTTATTTTAGAGGAGTCACATTGTAGGGAAATAGTTTTTCGTGTCATCTTGTATTCCAGTAGGCACGGCGTCAAGATTAGCCGCTGGTGCACCGGGCGCACGGGTTACCTGTTGTTGCGAGGTACTTGGGATATCCACGGGTCCAGGGTTGACTCCGCAGAGCAGGAGGAGGATGCAGCAAAGGGTTTTCACTCGCCGCTCAGCTCCGTCACGTACCACGGATAAGACTCGTTCTTTCTTTGGAGCAGTCGCTTTCCCTTTATCCAGCACATGGTTGTACAGCACAAACTGACTCCAAGAGACCAGTGCTACGCCACTGGTCTCAGAGCGAACCTCCGAGGGTGACCGAAGGGAATCCGGAGATTGCCGAGTCGCTGTCAGGCGGCCGCGTACAGCTCCCAAGCAGTTGCATTGTGATGATGAGTGACACTGCGTACAACGGCAAACTCACGGTACAAACATTCTTGATTTTAGTGTTTTTATGGAGGAAATATGATTTTACCGTTAATAAAGAACCAGAGTTTGAATATAAGTAAAACGGCGGCTTAGGAGGTTTCAGGAGAGGAGTAACAGCACCTGCTAAGCTGTCGCACCTTGCTGCCGCCATGTCACACTCTGTAGGAGGAGGTGATGTCACACTCTTATTCACCCTCTGTAGCAGACGTTGCAGATTTACAACATCCTCATTTCTCATTACCCACTGCTCCACATCCATAAGTAAATCACACCTCAGAGACAGAGGAGGTCTCTGGCCTCCTTCTGGGACTCTGAGGAGCACAGGGACTGGCCTCCTGCTGGGACTCTGAAGAGCCCATGTCGTTAGCTCCTCCCACATTGTTAGCTCCTCCCATGTCGTTAGCTCCTCCCACATCGTTAGCTGCTCCCACATCGTTAGCTCCTCCCACATCGTTAGCTCCTCCCACATCGTTAGCTGCTCCCACATGGCCAGAGAGGATTATGAGTCTGTGAAAGTCAATATCAGCTGAACCTCTGCAGAAGGAGACCTCAGATCTACACAAGACAGACCTTTGGAAATCAATGACTGTGTGTGTGTGTGTGTGTGTGTGTGTGTGTGTGTGTGTGTGTGTGTGTGTGTGTGTGTGTGTGTGTAGTAGCAGTGACTCTGTAGACCCAGGACTGAGGCTGTAGACCCAGGACTGAGGCTGTAGATCCAGGACTGAGGCTGTAGACCCAGGACTGAGGCTGTAGATCCAGGACTGAGGCTGTAGACCCAGGACTGAGGCTGTAGACCCAGGACTGAGGCTGTAGATCCAGGACTGAGGCTGTAGACCCAGGACTGAGGCTGTAGATCCAGGACTGAGGCTGTAGACCCAGGACTGAGGCTGTAGATCCAGGACTGAGGCTGTAGACCCAGGACTGAAGCTGTAGACCCAGGACTGAGGCTGTAGTAGTGCAGCTGTGGTCATTAACCCCTCTTACTCCTCCTCCCCCTCACACCTCCCCCTCCTCCCCCCCTTACCTCCGGCGGACACATGAAGGTGCCAGTACATTAGCTTTTTAGTCGTTTTTTTTCTTGCACCATTTTTCGGAGCAAATGGAGCGTTTCGAGCACTTCCACAGAGTCTGGCTTCAGCTGATGCATTGTTCTGCGGCGATGTCGAGGCTAATGACGGGTTAGCGCTTCTGGGGTTAGCGAGAGTTAGCAGCCACATCCCCACAGGTTTGAGAGAGAGAGAGAGCAGAGAGAGAGCGGAAAGCGGAGAGAGAGAGAGAGAGCAGAGAGAGAGCGGAAAGCGGAGAGAGAGAGAGAGCAGAGAGAGAGCGGAAAGCGGAGAGAGAGAGAGCAGAGAGAGAGAGAGTGAGCGGAGAGCGGAGAGAGAGCAGAGCAGAGAGAGAGAGAGCAGAGAGAGACAGAGAGAGCAGAGAGAGACAGAGAGAGCAGAGGAGCAGAGAGAGAGAGAGCAGAGAGAGAGAGAGAGCAGAGAGAGAGAGAGAGAGAGAGAGAGAGCAGAGAGAGAGAGAGAGGAGCAGAGAGAGACAGCGAGAGCAGAGGAGCAGAGAGAGAGAGAGCAGAGAGAGAGAGAGCAGAGAGAGAGAGAGCAGAGAGAGAGAGAGAGAGCAGAGAGAGACAGAGAGAGAGAGAGAGAGAGCAGAGCAGAGAGAGCAGAGAGAGAGAGAGAGAGAGCAGAGAGAGAGAGCAGAGAGAGACAGAGAGAGAGAGAGAGGAGCAGAGAGAGACAGCGAGAGCAGAGGAGCAGAGAGAGAGCGAGCAGAGAGAGAGTAGAGAGAAAGAGAGCAGAGAAAGAGAGAGAGAGCAGAGAGAGAGAGAGAGAGCAGAGACATCTCTTCTCTCGCTCTTCCCTCCCTCTCTCTCCTCTCCCTCCCTCTCTCCTCTCCCTCTCTCTCCCCTCTCTCTCTCTCTCCCTCTCTCTCCTCTCCCTCCCTCTCTCTCTCCCCTCTCTCCCTCTCTCCTCTCTCATACCAGTTCCCAAACACATAATAACCACTCTCCTTACACCCTTCTATTGCTTATTTTCATGAAAAATCACCAATTTTCCCAAGTCCAAAGCTAAAGAAGCTAAATAAGCTATAGCATGTGAGTGACAGATGGACACATGTATGAGTCCGTGGTCCCGGGGCTGAGGCCTGGTCCATCTCTGTATAAACTGTGATTCTGAGCTAAAGTGACGCCCGGACAAGACTGTGCAGACGGGGACCTCATTAGTGCTGCTTCGGAACCGTCTTGTCTCCTTAATTATCCAGGGGGCGCCGGTGCGACCTTCACACGGCTAACTGCTAACGAACCGCTGTGCTTTGAGTTAAAGAGAAAAAGAGATCGAGCTCATCTGCAGCAGAAGATAATGTGAAGAGAGAGAAGACAAAGAGAGAACATGAAAGGAGAGGGGTCTACAGGGACCTCTACCTCTAGGTAGGGTGACACAAACACTGAACAGCCTCAGTCCTGGGTCTACGGCCTCAGTCCTGGGTCTACAGCCTCAGTCCTGGGTCTACAGCCTCAGTCCTGGGTCTTGAGCCTCAGTCCTGGGTCTACAGCCTCAGTCCTGGGTCTACAGCCTCAGTCCTGGGTCTAAAGCCTCAGTCCTCTTTCAACGTGTGACATAAATGTACAACTGAACGTCATTAGTGTTCCTCTCTCCCCCTCTCTGTCTCTCCCTCCCCTCTCTCTTTCCAATCTCTAACCTCCTCCCTTCTCTTCCCTCTCCTCTCTTCCTCCCTCTCTCCCTCATTGTGATTCTGCAGGTCCAGTCCTTGTTGGTGGTGGTGACAGCTCATGCTAATGTGACACACACACACATACAGACTCCAGAGAGAGAGACCAGAGAGAGACCAGAGCGAGACCAGAGAGAGACCAGAGAGAGACCAGAGAGAGACCAGAGCGAGACCAGAGAGAGACCAGAGCGAGACCAGAGAGAGACCAGAGAGAGACCAGAGAGAGACCAGAGTGAGACCAGAGAGAGACCAGAGTGAGACCAGAGAGAGACCAGAGCAAGACCAGAGAGAGACCATTTAGATGTGAACCAGGATCTAATAAAACCATGTGTGTGTATTTACCGCTGACCCTAGCTCTTCATTGGAATATTTTCGATGACTTGACGACTTTGAGCTAAAACAATCGATGAGGCAATAATGGAGTGGATCTGGATCTGGGAGGTCCTGCAGCAGCATGAGGGGGAGAGAGGGGGAGAGAGGGGGAGAAGGGGAGAGATGGGGAGAGATGGGGAGAGAGACCAGAGAGACCAGGTGATACTATAAAGGTTTTCTCATTGACACTAAAGAGATTTTTCTGGAACAAATCAGAATCTTGTAATTCCTGCAGTTGTCAGACATGCACATGTATGAGAAGGAACATGAACGGAGGGAGGGCGGGGGAGAGGGGGAGAGGTGCAGAAGAAGAGGTTTACTGTGCTGCAGGATGTAGCTCTGGGACTGTCAGTCTGATTGTGAGAGAAGGAAGTGTTTAATCCCGGCTGCTGCTGACTCCACCACTGTATATCCACTGTTTCTCTCTCTTGCTCTCTCTCTGGTCTTCTCTTTCTTTGGTCTTTCTCTCTGGTCTCTCTCTGGTCTTTCTCTCTGGTCACTCTCTGGTCTCTCTCTGGTCTCTCTATGGTCTCTCTCTGGTCTCACTCTGGTCTGTCTCCGGTCTCTCTCTCTGGTCTCTCTCTGGTCTCTCTCTGGTCTCACTCTGGTCTGTCTCCGGTCTCTCTCTCTGGTCTCTCTCTGGTCTCTCTCTCTGGTCACTCTCTGGTCTCTCTCTGGTCTCTCTATGGTCTCTCTCTGGTCTCACTCTGGTCTGTCTCCGGTCTCTCTCTCTGGTCTCTCTCTGGTCTCTCTCTCTGGTCTCTCTCTGGTCTCTCTCTCTGGTCTCTCTCTCTGGTCTCTCTCTCTGGTCTCTCTCTCTGGTCTCTCTCTCTGGTCTCTCTCTGGTGTCTCTCTGGTGTCTCTGGTCTCTCTCTGGTGTCTCTCTGGTGTCTCTGGTCTTCTCTTTCTTTGGTCTTTCTCTCTGGTCTTTCTCTCTGGTCACTCTCTGGTCTCTCTATGGTCTCTCTCTGGTCTCACTCTGGTCTCTCTCTGGTCTCTCTCTGGTCTCTCTCTGGTCTCTCTCTGGTCTCTCTCTCTGGTCTCTCTCTCTGGTCTCTCTCTGGTCTCTCTCTGGTCTCTCTCTCTGGTGTCTCTGGTCTCTCTCTGGTGTCTCTGGTCTCTCTCTGGTGTCTCTCTGGTGTCTCTGGTCTCTCTCTGGTGTCTCTCTGGTGTCTCTCTGGTGTCTCTGGTCTCTCTCTGGTCTCTCTCTGGTCTCTCTCTGGTGTCTCTCTGATGTCTCTGGTCTCTCTCTGGTCTCTCTCTGGTGTCTCTCTGATGTCTCTGGTCTCTCTCTGGTCTCTCTCTGGTCTCTCTCTGGTGTCTCTCTGATGTCTCTGGTCTCTCTCTGGTCTCTCTCTGGTGTCTCTCTGATGTCTCTGGTCTCTCTCTGGTCTCTCTCTGGTGTCTCTCTGGTGTCTCTGGTCTCTCTCTGGTCTCTCTCTGGTCCATACTACTTTTTCTCACCAGTCGCTACGACAATTACTGAGTTCACTTTTACAAGTAAGTCAATAGGAGCCAGAGTGACTCGGAGCCAAACTTTGTCCATGAGCACTTCCCTATTGGGCTTCATTGAGATCTTCAGTCTGAGATAAAACCTGCAGCCTCCATGATGAAATCCTTCAGAGGAAACAGGACCAAGGCTTTTGTTTCTGTGGTTTCTG